CAGTTCACTGACTAAAAGAATAATTATTTCTTACAATTTAATTAGTTGTATTTTACTATTTTAACTTCCAAACCATCAAATTCAATTTATGGATTTGCGTAAATTCCAACCAGCTGTTTTTGATCAGCTGTTTCTTTGCAGTTGGCAAAAATTTTTCCAACCGAAACTAGCAGCTTTCTCTCAAAATGAAATTTCATTTTGCTCCCTCAGTTTACCCTACCTTGCAAGTTTTTTTGCGTACACGAACAAAAAAAGCTGATAGTTTTTATTAGTGATAGAACTTTTTAGTAAAGTATCGATACTAGTACTCATTTATAATACTCTAAAAAAGAATCGATGCCAGTACTCATATTTACAAAAAAGTATCGATAATACTCGTACTTCCAATTATTTTTAGGGCAAACGCGAAAAGTTAACAAAATTCAGATTACTTTGCTTACATATACCTACATATGACCTCTTTCTTTTTGTAAATTGAATAGACATTGCTTTTAATAGCTGAAGTCTGATCTAACAAGCATTTCTAACGAAGTTTTTGAAAAGAACTTGCAACAAGTTTAAAAGCGTAAAATTTATTTATTTGACGTTTTTAAAAGCAACTAAAGCCATTGTCTAAAGGAAAGATAAGCTCCTTTTCACAAAAATTTTCTCCGAAAGCGGGCTGGATTTCGAATTTAAAACCAAGGTAGGATACATTGCAAAACGAAGGCTTCGTTATTCTGGAGAATTGCCAAGTTATCGAGCCGAAGACCACCCTCCTAACCCATTCCTTACACCGGCACAAAAAAAAATTGGTGTGTGCTTTTAACCAGACCCACTTGCCGCCACGTATATCGACCTACTGCATCCGAATCTTAGGCCCGTTTGACTCGTTTTTGCCATTTTTTCACAATTTTTGCAATTAACCCCAAATTTAGGAGGTGTACGAGTCAAATGGACCTCAATACATGTCGATGTGTGGGTCTAGTTAAAAGCAAAATACTACTTTTTTTTGCCAGTGTTATCGAAGGTATAACAAGAGATTAATTTTCCAATTATTTAAGAAGTTTTAACCGAGCCAAATGTCCATGTGACTGCTCCTCTTTTTCTATGTTGTATTGAAAATTCGTAGCTCACCAGAGTGACAGTATTGAAGTTAATGAACGTTATGCCCATGGGGTAATTTTTAAATATTTTTCAATGTGATTGAAATTCAATGTGATTGAAAAAAAATATTTTACCTAAACAAGTTTTTAAAACGTCGATACTTTTGGGTATTCGCGATATTTACTCAGTACTCGTCAAAAAGTATCGAGTCCTCAATACTACTCAGTACTCATGAAAAGTATCGATATTCTCTACTCGGTACTCGTATCGTTCTATCACTAGTTTTTATAACTTTCAATAATTATCAGGTACGCGAATGCAACTAATTGTGAAAGGTATTTTGACTTTACGAATTTCATTGTAGAGTACAGACCAGTACCAAAAATTGGAAATTTACGGGACGCAGCTGTTTTCAAAAGCGATTATTTTAAATCTGGTACTGATTGCCAGAATTCAAGCTTTATGTTGAATTTCCAGTGCCTTATCTTCTTTCATTCCAAAAACTCTAATTCTTCTTCGCTTTACTCAAAAATGAGTATTTCGGATAATAAGATCAACGGAAATAAGGTCAATAGACTTCATTTCCCACCCTGGTGTGAAATAAAGGCGATTGACATTATTACCTCTTTAAAAGCGAAATAAAATCTATTGACACTATTGCTCTTTCAAACATTAGATTTGCTTAGCGCCGCCCGACCGTCGACCACACTACGTCACGCTTCGCCGCGGCCCCCCTTCCCCCTCTCCCACCATGCTGTAACGCAGGTAGATTTATTTTTTGTATACGCTGAAATAAAATTTTTATATATTTTACATAGCGACGGCTTATGTTCAATAATACCCCCTATCTGCACACTTTTCACAAAGATCAGATTCTGATATAAAAATCCACCTAAGATTTAACTGTCATCGGTGATATTAATGCTACCTTATATAACGCTTGACAGAAGAATTTACACTATTATAAATTGGAAATCAGAAGTAATCTATCAGTGATGACAGGTAATAAGTCCCAGATGGTTTCTAAAATCACAAATTAGTTTTTGTGCAAATTGCAGATAGAGGGTATTAATGAATTTAAGCCCTCGATATTTAACATTTTTATATTTGTAAGTTATTGGAAGATTTCTGCAGTGTTTTGGCAACAACTTGTCTGTCAAAATCATACAATTTGTGTTTCAAAAGTGTGTGAAGTCCAAAAACCAATCAATTAACTTACATGATCTCGGTTCAGATAATTGTTGTTGTTGAATGTGCCATTTAATAAATAGTGTCGTCGTTCTCCTTAGCTGCTTTTAAATGATGTCACAAATTGCTGGCGGAGACATGAGTACAGTCTAAGAAAATTCCTTTTCTATGATTGTTTTCTTATAGAAAGGTTGGTTTCGTTTTCACCTTAGACTTTCCGAATTCATTCAAAATATGCTAATTTAAAACACAGAAATCTTTCAGTGTTCCTCCGGGGTTTTTGGGCATGGACTGTTTCTTCAATTTAATAGTATTCGCTTTATTTTTGTATAAACAAAACATATTTTACAAGTTCTGGCCATTTCTATACTCTTTCTTCAAATATTTCTCCTCATCTAGCTGCGTTTTGCATTTGGTTTTTCGCATGGTGTTTTTACTATATTCGTAATTTTAAATTTTTAAATAAAATCAATTGGTGGTAGTTCATGATTGTGTGGATTAATAGCACCACACTGTGGATTTTCAATAACCTTTTTCATCAATTAAAAAACAACACTTACGGGGCAATGTTTATTGTAAGAACCACATTTTTTTCTATGAATCGACATACTTTAAGCATTGTTGACGCTATTTCTATTTGAATGAGGGAAGAATAGCGTCAATGACTTTATTTCTAAATTTTTTTTGACTATATTCCGCTTTTGAAAAGGTAATAATGTCAATTGATTTATTTCGCACCAGGGTAGGAAATAAAGTCAATTGACCTTATTTCCGTTGATCTTGTTACCTGACACCTTTAAATAATTTCAAATCGGAAAATCTTTTTTCAAAATACGCTTTTAAATCATGTGCCATATTTTTTCTAGCCATGGAAAGTTATGAAATATTCTTTTTTTGAGATCATAAAAAATACGTAGTTTAGCTTCAAAACTTAAAATAATTTGTGACAAATCAAAAATTTTTTTATTCTCTCCTTGTAGAGACAAATTCAAGTTTTGCAAATGTTCCATCACATCGGTAAAGAACATTAACACAGAAAGCCAATTTTCATTCTCCAATTGAGGGTAATATTCCGATCTTAATTTGCATATGTGTATATAAAAATAAAAAAACAACACAATGGAAAAGAATGTCCAGCAAACAAATATGTAGTTTAAAAAAAAAATAGAGCCAAAATGTTCTAAGCAAAGGGAAAGTAAAAAGAGTCGCGCTTTGCTAAGCAAAGAGCCGCGTTTGCCTACCGTTGCCATATACCAAACGAAAGGAAAACCTTGAATTTTTGATCAAAAAAAAACAAAAAGAAAATCATTCCAGCGGTTTCGAGCATTTTGGATATAAAAAAAATTTGCTAATTGTTTCAACAAATTTTTTCCTTAAATTGCTCAATATTTGTTTCTACAAAATTTTTACACTATAATATTTCAATTGCTCCAAAGAACCTAAGTACCGAAAATGAAATTTATATCTGCTAATCATAAGTTGCTAGAGCACCTTAAAGGCTCGAAATTGACCACAAAATAAGCCAATATTTACCGTTGTTTCTACGACAGAAACCGTATTGTTTACTTACAATGAATCTGTCGAAAGGCTTGGAATTTTATCTTTGAAACGCCATACTTTTAATTGAAATCGCTTCATTAGTTCTCGTGCAATGAGCGTTTTCGTGAAGCTCTGGACCCGTCAACCTATTTATTATGCCATTAACAGCATTTCCTCGCAATGATTTTGCTTCTGCTCCAAGCAGCCTCCATTGGCAAGTTAACTAATCAATCCCGCTGAGATGCTGGCGCAGTTTTCTGCAGCAGCCTTAATTGCAAAGCAATGGAGTGCACTAAAACGTTTGCTGAAGCAGCCTCAATTGCGAGGCAATGGAGTGCACTAAAATGTTACCTATTCTCTAATAGATTAGGTAAAAGTGCAATATTTTCCCACTTAGCAAAATTAAAATACGTTTTTCTCTTTTAGGTGAACTGTGTTGGCAGTTTCAACTCGTTCTTCTTTTCGATCTATTCTTTGTTTACTTGTGGTACAAAAATGTCAACGCCCAGGATGGCGCAATCTTGTATTCTGTCATTAGGGGCAATCCCGTATTCCTCGGACTCGGACTAGTAAAACTGTCAAAAAATAAAAATTCGCTCAGAGCGAGAGAGTAACATTGAAAAGTACGGGATCGCTTTCTAGTAAAAAATGGTAACTTCTGTCAACTTCAACATAACCTCCAAATTTTGGTTGTAAATTTTTGCTTATTTTGTATGTAAACATACTCAGCTCACACATGTAAATAACCAAAAATACTTTCAAATTCATTAGAATCCACTTAAACAATTAAATACTTTTCAACATGAATTAGCAGAGTGCACTTTTCTTTTGTTTACAATTTGGTTGCCAAACACACTACAGCTGATCGTTTGACACATTTACCAGAATTTACCAGCAAAAAATTATCGGACTAAAACTGGTAACTTCTGACAGAGAGAGGACCGTATTTACTCTCTTTTTTGTCCTCTCAATAGTCAGAGAACCGAGTACGGGATCGATTTCCAGTAAAATCTGACTGATTCTGACTATTTCTGACTAGTCCGGACTAGGGACACGAAATTCGATACGATACGATACCATATCGATACTTTTGGCATTCGATACCGATATATTTTACTCGATAGTTTTAAAGCGATATTTTTAGGAATCGAGTACCAGAACCCTAGTATCGTATCGAATGTCATAAGCTCACATTACAAGGATAATGTTATTAACAATTCTTTCCGATATAAATTGGTCTTTTAAGAGCAGAAATGTGTAATATAGTTAGGATTGCATGTGGTGGAATTTGAACCCGCGACCTCGGTGTTTTAAGACAACACCTCAATCTCTACGTGTTGTTACACAATATGTTAGTGTTTGACCGAGATTCTCCTCCTATTTGTCAAGTGCGTCTTAAGTTCTGAACACATTAAAAACGACGAGCTACACCACAGTGAGACCTATATTCATATAAATTTTTTGGATTTTGGTATCGATATTTGGAATATCGAGTCTTTTTATTCCGATATTAATGGGTACCCGATATTTTTAAAGCGATACTTTAAATGAGTGCCATATCGATACTTTCTGTTTGATATCGTGTCCCTAGTCCGGACTCGTACGGGATCGCAACTATTCTTGATGCTATAAAAGTAAGAG